ATTTATTATGTCTATGGTAGCCCATCCCCTCCCCACCTCCGTCTGCGTCGTCTGCGCATGCGCGGCACGCCAGGCAGCCCCCCCCATTATTATTGTAAGAATAATTTCACTTATGAAAATGGCGGCGAGTCAGGGAGCTGTGGGACCTGGTGTGGCTCTCCAGAGCCAGCATTATCCCAACGTCGCGCACTGGAACCCGGGCGTGATGCAGCAGCAGCACCCGCTACACACCGCCCGCAGTCTGGAACGCGCTCTGGAAGATGCCGTCTGCTCCGGGATGCTCAACATCAGCGGAAGAAAACTGCGCGACTACCCGGGGCTCAACTACGATCTGACCGATACTACACAAGCAGGTGGGTCCGTCAGATGTGGGCTAATCTCCCTGCGTGATTCACTGACCCGCTTCTCGCGATTCTTGATTTGAAAGGACAACAAAATAACACAAAGCGAAGAGCGTGGGTGCCTTTTTGGTGCATTTGCGCGGTGTGTCAGTGGATGTTTGTGTATTGACTACAATAGCCAGTGCACATGGTGCTTGTATCACGCTTTATCTGTCGTGTTTATCATATCCAGCGTGGTGTGGCAAACCCAATTATAGCTGGCATTAGAAATACTGTCTAAAAGGCACTAGCATCCCTGGTTGTTTTGGTTTCACATCTCACTTTCTCGCCAAACCATATTTCATGTATGAATAAAACTAGAGAGAGCACTTCAGCTGGAGGAGACAATCTCCATTAACCTTTGCTCCAGTAATTCAGCAGGTTTTAACATGCAAACCCGTAACAACATTGCACCAATCTATACTGCGACCACGCGACAACACTATGCTCCCTTTATATTTGACAAATGTATTTATCATTATGGGAACAGTTTATTTAGTGGATAGGGTGATAAACGATGGTGAAAGGCATTTTTTAAACGGACCATAAGTGCAGATAGCGGCTGTAGTGCCAGACAAAATATGCTGCCGTTGGTCTTTATAATCTACCACGAGCCTTTCTTCATCCTTTCAGTGGAAATCAATGCGCAAGCAGCCCTTTATATTATACAAGCACGCATTTGACTAATATTTAGTATTACGATTTAGATATTTGTAATAGTATTAAAAGCTATTGTTGATCTAAATAATCTTTGGTCTGGCAAAACAGTTTGTACAAGTGGGCTGCACTATTATAAACACTGCAGCATAATGTGGATTAGCTATATTTCAGTTGTTTCTGGAGATGTGGTTAGAAATTAAATGGCTGCTTGTCTTTCGGAAGTGTCTGTGGTCTGTAATGGTAGTCTTGCTGCAGCAAACAGCCATTGAGATGTGAAGCAGACAGTGGGAGGAGTGACACTAACCCATTCATTCATGCACACCTTACACACAGCATAGTGTCTACACTCCCATTCAACTGTATTGAGTTACACTAGTGAATAGGTCTTTTGTGTCTTTTGTTGTAAAGCTGTATGAAGGGTCGTTTGTTTATATCGAGCCATGTGTTTTGATTCTCTCCGACGGCTTGTGTGCTGAAAGAAGCCTATGGTTGTTGTAGATAACGCTGGATGTTCATACGTTGGTATCGCTGTTTCTGTCAGGGTCGTTGGCATACAGATGGCATTTGTTGATAGTATAAGGCTGCTTGTGTGTGCTTTTGTTTGTGTGCATGTGTATGCATCTATTTGAAAGAGGAAATAGTTGAATGTGCACCAGACTGTCACCTATAAGAGGAAGTGACGCTGTTGCTGACTCAACTGAATAAAGAGAAGAAAGCCCTCAATTTGCAATCTGTGTTCACATTTGTATTTTGTAAGTGAGATTGCTTGTGTGCTTGTTAGTTTTTGTGTGTGTTTGACAGTTTGACTAGGCTTGAGTATATGGTAAGCATGTGTGTGGTGTGGGTCTGTTCCAATGGCTCAAGTGACCCACTTGGCAGTCCTTGCTATTATTGGCTGTGTTTGGCCACAAACTTAAAACTTGAGTACGAAGACGTCCCCAAGTCTCTGATGTTAAATTGTGACAAAGTTGAATAATTCCCTCTCTTTGTCTTTCTTGCATTCTTTTTCTCCACCACGTTTTGCTGTTTTGATCATTTATGTTGCGAGTTAACAACAACAGTCAACGGTTTGCTGTGTATAGCATTGTCATCATATGTGTCTTCTTCATCGATAAACTAGATTCCATTTCTGTGAATTGTCTTTGTATAAAAAATAATATGTATTTTAGGACTGAGTATCGGTTGCTATCTCACAATATGATACCCATACATGTCCCAATTCAGTACACTGCAATGCAGCACAGTATTATTCTGTTATTTGATCAGTTTCAATCCCTCTTACGCAGTTTGCTTTAATATTGTCCAGTTTATTGTGCTGTATATAAGGTTTCGGAAACTTTCTGTGTTTACACTTATTTAGATGACCTGCTGCCTCATTATTTAGGAATTTGTATGAATTAAAATATAAACTAAATACTGAAAAATAATGGCAACGTATTGATATATGACTGTACCTGATTCTGCACAAGTGTAAGAGTTAGCCTATTTTAGTAATTATGGTATTTTTTATATACCATTATAGTATTTATGAATATTGTGAATTAGCTTTTTTTAATTTTGTTATGTGCTTTTGTCATTTTTATTAGTTTTTTTATATTCCTAGATTGCTTTTATTTGTTTTATTTTATTTTAAGTTTTAGTAATTTGTATAACTTATTTATTACAGTTAGTTGCCAAGGGAATATTTCTAATTGTCATTTACATTTTTTTTTTTAATTTAAGATTTATATTTTATTTCAGTTTTATTTTGATTACTGAAAAGATTTGTAATAGTTTTAGTTGGTAATAACAACTGTTCTGAACACATGTAAAGTATATTGCAAGTGTTTAAATGTACAATATCCCACCATTCTCCTGTTTGTCTTGCAAAGACCATGTGTGTGCAACAAATGCTTTAAATGCTGAAAAAGTGAGATTTACATAAACAGCAATGGTTAAAGGCAGTGTAAAGGTCTATTTATGTCACTGCAGAAGTGAGGATTGAAAGTCTATCTGAAGTCAATGTTCATGTGCGCACTCTTTTCTAAAGACAGATATCTGAACAACTGAACAAGATGATTTATGTGACAAAGTTTGACCTGATGTGAGATGGTTAGGTTTGTTAAAAATCCCCAACTTTTCTCTAGACTAATCAAGGTGTTTGTCAGAATGACCAATAACCATTTGTTTTTATCTCAAGCATTATCTTTACATATAAAGTACAAATGACATTTTTTGACAATATTAATGGAGACAAAAGGAGGAAGATAAAATTATGATTTTTTTCTCTTAATGTCAGTGCAGCAGACTTCTATCTAGCTGTAGTATGCACTATTGAATATTCAAGTGCAAAGTTGTCTTTCATGAAACTGTTTTGCATTAAGGCAGTTTGTGGTCATGCATGTGTATGAAATATGCATGGATCCTCTGTGCACATGTGGTGTTGCTTTTAGGATCCCTGCATTAAAAGCTGATGCAGATGTATGCCTAATGCCAGTCATTAGAGCCCGACCGATATGGGTTTTTTGTGGCTGATACCGATACCGATATTATGAAGTTTCCCTGCATTAAAAGCTGATGCAGATGTATGCCTAATGCCAGTCATTAGAGCCCGACCGATATGGGTTTTTGTGGCTGATACCGATACCGATATTATGAAGTTAAAAAAGGCCGATATCAATATATCAGCCGATATTCTTTGTGTATATTATAGTACAGTACCAGTCAAAAGTTTGGACACTTTCCCATTCGTGTGTCCAAACATTTGACTGGTACTATATATAGAATACAGTATATACATAAACAGAATATATATACATGAACATATGAAGTTTATTCAACTTTAATTCAATTCAATTCCATTCAACTTTATTCCGTTGAAGTTTATTTCACTTTGGAACATTCATTCACGGATTTGCGCTACTGTCTTCACATTCAGACGAAACTTACTAGAGAAGTGTGAAGTGTGACATAATATACCTCTGTAAATAAATACAATATAAATTCACGTCTCGCGCACTTTAATGCCCTTTGAATGTAACGTGTACGTTCTCTTGGAACTGGAATCATGGCGGAATTTCATGTGAAGTCCACTTTGCAGGGCACTTACGGTCGAATAAGACAACGCTTGAATGCTGCTGCCTGAACAAGAGACCTCCTTAGTGAAGTGAAAGTGTTGACTGGTGTCACTATCTCGCGAACGTGCCGGCGGATCTCCACCAAATTCGGTGGATCCCTTCAGCTCGAGGCGCCCTATCGAATGCCACCCTCCGCGCGTCGGTAGCCCCCCGGGATCGCTCAATCAGTCGGCGCCGGACCGTGAATTTAACCACCCCTAACTCCCGAACCCCGGGGGCTATCGACGCGGCGGTGGTCTCATTTGAAAGCGGGCCTCTAGACGTACACTCGATTCGCGTTCGAGAGGGTTCCTCGAGCTGAAGGGATCCCCCGAATTTGGTGCGGATTTGCCGCGCCGTTACGGAGATATGGCCGTTCAAAGTTTCAATGGTTTTCCATAGACTTAAGTTTTAAAAAGCGTTTTATCCAGGTCGTCAGTAGCAAACAATGGAGCACGCTCTGCTGGACAAACTAAGTAATTACACAATTTCAAGCATTTTATCTGCGTTAGATGTTCTGTAAAAAAATGTTTCATATTCACTGATACCGATATATCGGCGACAGGCTCATATCGGCCGATAATATCGGCAAAACGATATATCGGTCGGGCTCTACCAGTCATAACCGGTTTTACCGGTTTTCTCGATTGCTAACACACTATAACTGATTTATTTGGCCCAATTTTCAAAACCATACATTCAGTTTTCGAAACAAAGACACGTTTCTCAAAACATTTAACACATTTCACCTGTTTTCACACACATTCCAATTTGCTCAGTGTTTTCTGCAAAAATCTACACAAAAACGCCCTCATTTTGCACAGGTTAACCATGTTCTCATTCAGAAAACACAAACACACAATAATTACCTCAGGCATCACAATATGAACTCAAATAACACACATTTATCCATCTGTAAACATTAAGTAGCAAAATTGATGACACAGCAGTCAGAATCTCAGGATGATATAAATAGTTATTGTGTGCTTTGGAAAATGAATCCTACTAGTGGGAGACAAAGAGGAAGAGGAGAGGAAAAGAAAAATGAAGGGGTCGGGGTCAAAAGACATTTGTTCCTGATGATATACACAGCAACTGTGGAACTGATTTGTAGCCAAGTACTTACATTTACTGTATTTTTGCAGAACTGAAAGATTACTCTATATTCTATAAGTGTGTTCATATTCAATTCTTTGGTATTCGACCTTTTCTAGTGCT